GCCATCATCTTCTCTTACAGTAACACTTATAGTCAATGATCCACCATTGAGACTATATCTTCCTCCTATTCTGATATCATCACTGCCTTTCTTCCATGTATATGTAACAGCTATGGCTGGCTTGCCTCTAGTAGCTTCACAGTTTAATGTCACGGAGTTTGGTTCGTTAACTATTTGATCCACTGGTGAGGTAGTGATAGTTGGTGGATCTGTAGTAGAAATTATATAAAGTGTTTAGCCAAAACGTTTGTCGGTAATATTCAAGATTACAACTGCCTATTAGGTATGAATGGCCATTTTAATTGAAGATTTTTTGAATTTATATCAAGTTGTGTAATAAATAAAAGAACCAGTACAGGTTATTTGCCACTTGGCAGAGGGTTGAAGCAGGGTGATCCAATATCACCTTATGTTTTTATTTTGAAGTATTTTTGATAACACTGAGTACTAGCCAAGATATTAAGCGGATCAGCATATTAAATACAGAAGTTAATCAAAGAAAGCTTAGAAAGAACTCCCATGTGCTGAGAGTATTAGAGACACATTAAATATAATTAGAAATTACTTAGCTGAAAACTAATTATGCAAATCAGAAAATTAACATGAACAGATTTAATTGTAAAACTAATGAGGTCTGCGCAATGTAACAAAAACTCTATGTACCAAGTTTAATTGAAATGTGATTAGAACCAAAAAATTATGAATTATTATGCTAAATAGGGAAATAATATGAACAGAGTTTTACCCCAAACTAATTAGGTTTGTACATTGTCCTAGAGCATCTTTGTACTAAGTTTCATTAAAATGGAAATTAGTACTTTAGATATCAGTGTGAAAGCTTAAAATTGGTTAATTATGCAAATTGGGTAATTAATATGTACAGATTTTAACCCACAATTATCCAGGTCTGTCTATTGTCCTACAGCATCCATGTATAAACATTCATTGATATGTGATGATTAGTACCTGAGATATCAGTGTGACAGTTGGAAATTGGTTAATTATGCAAATTAGGTGATTAATATGCACAGATATTTACC